ATTTTAGTAATTTGTACCATCTATCTAGGACTTGATATATATCGTTTCGATTGGGAGCTCCTCCAAAAGTTTAGAGTTAAGAGAAAAACGCAGATCTCTTTGTAATTAAAAAAAAAAACAGAGAGGCGTAAGGAAGAGAGAGTATTGTAACCCTATTCTCCATTGCCAGTAAAGAAGCTCTAATCTCCCATGGACGTAGGCACGTTGCCAAACCATGTATATCTTTGCGTTGTAGTTGATTGTCTCTTTCTTTTGTGTTTGTTTCTTCTTTCTTGTTTTTCATGGATTGCTTTTCGTTTCTACAAATTGATATCAGAGCCTACAAGGTTATTCCGTGTTTTGGGGTTTGCTACCACGATGACAAGAAAGGCGTCAAACGTCAAATATGACATTGAGAGGTTCAATGAAAAGAACAATTTCACCCTTTGGCGACGAAGGATGAAGGATCTTTTGATACAGGAAGGTCTGGCTAAGGCTTTGCTAGAGAAATTGAAGAACTAGCAAAGATGGACGATGAATAGTGGCAAGAGATAGATGAAAAGGGAGTAAGTGTAATTCGTCTGAATCTCTCAAATGACGCTTTACGTTATGTGGCGGATCTCGAAACTGCTCCGAACGTTTGGACAAAACTCAACAGTATCTACATAACGAAATCTTTGACGAACAAATTGTTCTTGAAGAAGCAGTTGTATTCTCTTCAGATGGAAGAAGGCACAGATCTACTTGAACATCTCAGCGAGTTCAACCAGATCATAAGCCTTGAGGTCAAAATCAAGAATGAAGACAAGACCCTGCTTCTGTTGGCTTCACTTCTAACATCATACGATCACCTGGTTACGACTCTATTGTACGGGAAGGAGTCTCTTGAGACGGACGAAGGCACTGCTACTCTTTTGTCAAACGAGATAAGGAAGAAGACTAGCAGTATTAAATATCAAGGAGAAGGTAAACACAAAGAGAGTCATGAAAGGGGCAGATTAAATCAAAGGAAGTCTGAAAGCAGAAATCGGTCAAAATCGAAGGGGAAATTTGCTATTACTGCAAAAAGGAATGTCATATGAAGAGATACTGCCCGAAAAGAAAGGAGGATATGAACAGGATAGAAATAGGAAAAACATCTGATGAAGCTAGTGTGGTCGATAGCTCTGACAGAGATGATGAAGATCTTCTCTCTATAACTTCAGGTAAGAATCAATTTACTAATTCTTGGATTTTAGATTCTGGTTGTTCTTTTCAAATGTGTCCAAATAGAAACTGGTTCGAAACCTACAAATCATATAGTGGTGGGTCTGTTCTAATGGGGAACGATGCGGTATGCAAGACCATTGGAATAGGAACTATCAAAATCAAGACGTTTTATGGGATAGTACGAACCTTAGTAGATGTGAGACATGTCCCACAATTAAAGAAAAACTTAAAATCTCTGGGGGCTCATGATTTGAATAGTTGCAAGTATACAGCAATATGTGGAGTCCTCAAAGTTAGTAAGGGATCTATGGTTGTCATGAAAGGTCAGATGAGTGGGAACCTATACAGGTTGATAGGGAATACAGTTACAGGTAGAGCTTTTGTAACCACAGATGTTGAGTCCAACACTGATGACCCAAATTTATGGCATATGCCTTTAGGGAATATGAGTGAACAAGGTATGATGGAACTTCATAAAAGAAAATTGTTGAAGGGTGTCAGAGCCTGTAAACTGGATTTTTGTAAGTACTGTGTTTTTAGTATACAATGCAAGATTAGATTCAAAACTGCAATTCATACGAGTAAGGATATACTAAACTATGTACACACTGATGTATTGGGGACTTCACCAATCAAATCCAAGGGTGGGGCAGAATGCTTCATTACCTTCATTGAAGGTTACTCCAGAAAGGTCTGGGTCTACTTCATGAAACACAAAAGTGAAGCATTCATGAAGTTTAAACAATGGAAAGCAGAGGTAGAAAGAAGACAGGAAAGAAACTAAAATGCTTAAGATCAGATAATATAGGGGAGTACAAGTCTAGAGATTTCTGATAAGAAGAGGGGATTGTACGTCACTTTACCACACCAGAAACCCCTCAACAAATTGGTATGGCTGAGAGGATGAACAGGACTCTTTTGGAAAGAGCTCGTAGTATGAGATTGAATGCAGATTTGACGAAACATTTCTGGGCCGAAGCAGTTAACATGGCATGTTTCATCGCTAATAGGTCACCAACTACAGCGATTGATTGCAAAATTCTAGAGCAGATGTGGACAGGAAAGCCGATAGATTACTCTATGCTGAGTATCATCGGATGTCCAGCCCATGTCCATGTACAAAGTGGGAAACGTTCCAAATTAGACTCTAAGTCGAAGCAATGCATCTTTCTCGATTTTTGAGAAGGGAGTGAAGGGATCCAAGCTTTGGGATCCTATTTCACATAAGGCTGTGCTTAGCAGGGATGTTGTGTTTGATGAATCTCACATGGTGAAGTCAATCTACCTGCAAGATGACAAAGTGCAAGTAGATGAAAGTGATGGAGAAAGATCGACAGTCCAGGTGGAGCTAGAAGAGTCTGAAACACCAGAAGAGGAAAAATCATCTAGCAGCATACCAGAACAGCAACAATCACATGGTAAACCCTACAGTTTAAGCGTGTTCACATAGCCCCTGTGAGATACGGCTTTGAGGACATGGTAGCCTTTGCTCTAACTATTTGTACTAGGGAAATCGACTCCATCAAAGATGCTCCAAGTGATGCACAAGGTGATAAATGGATGATAGCCATGATGGAGGAGATAGAGTCTCTGAAAAAGAACAAGACTTGGGAGCTTGTCAAGAGGCCCAAGGGAAGGAAAGTGATTGGGTGCAAGTGGATCTTTCGGAAGAAAGAGGCAGCAACAGAAAAGGAATGTGAGAGATTCAAAGCTAGGCTAGTAGCAAGGGCAATGCTCAGAAGGAAGGAGTGGACTATAATGAAATATTCTCTCCTGTTGTCAAGCACACTTCAATAAGGCCATTACTTGTTTTAGTAGCCATGTTTGACTTGGAGCTAGAACAGCTTGACATGAAGACAACGTCTTTTCATGGTGATTTGGAGGAACAAATCTTTATGGAACAACCTGAAGGCTTCATGGTGCATGGAAAGGAAGATCAAGTTTGCTTACTCAAGAGATCGCTTTATAGTCTTAAATTGGGTTTTCGGGTTTTCATGGTTGAAGAATGAGATGTTCAAAAAAAAAAAGGAAAAAAACTTGAAAGAGGCGCTGAGACTGTACAAACTAGGGGAAGTTTAGTCCCACATCAAAAGTGTTAAAAGATCGAGAGATTTGGATCCGAATCAGTGCTTTTTAAAACCTTGCAACAAACCAACCAACCAACGATCAAGCACTAACACAATAAATTATCTTTATTCATGAAAAGGCCCCTCAGTAATGGGGCTAACTGCCCGACTATCTTTTTACAAACAAAATAAAGAGAAAAACTAAATCTTACCAGATGCATGTTTTTAGGATACTCAAACTCTCAGAAAGGATACAATTGGTGTTGTTCAAAACTAAAATGAAATATATTTCAAAAGATGTTACATCCTTTGAGAATATATCCAATTTTTCTATCCAAAAAATGTTGATATCCAATATGCCACCCAAAAATCATATCCCTCTTCCAATGATCATAGATAGTTCTAGTAAAACAACCATTGAACTTATGGAATCTACTAAGAAATAACTGAACATGCACACCCACAAAAAGGAACATTGGAAAGTCTAACATAAAGATCAATCTCAACTCGTTGACTCGTCAAGTACTTTTTATCCTCCTGCCCTTATTAGATCTTATGAATTCAATTTATTTATTTCCGTAAGAAAGGAAAAAAAGGCTTGTACTTGTCAATTAATCAGTATGTTTGTTTCTTATGTTTCACTTTCAACTTCTTTGCATGCATACCTTTGATCTACTTCATATGTTTCTATTCCCACTGAAATTGCAGATGCATTAGCTCATGTACAATGGAAAGCAAACATGGTTGGGGAAATGATTGCCTTAGAGAAGTAACAAACTTGGGATGTAATTGATCGGCCAACGGGACATGAGGTAGGATGCATATGGTTGTACACCCTATCGTACAAACCAGATGGCTCGACTGAGAAATTTAAAGCTTGTCTGATTGCCAAGGGTTTACATGGTTATGTAGGGTTGATTATAAGGAGACTTTTTCTCTTATGGCAAATTTGAAATCAGTGCAGATACATTCACCTATTGCCACAAATAAGAAATGGCCACTCCACCAACTTAACGTGAATAATATTTTTCTCCATGGAGATCTACAAGAGGAAGTGTATATGAGTTACCACCTGGGTTTTATTCTCAAAGGGGGAAAGAGAAGGATTGCAAGTTGAGGAAAGCTATATATGATTGCAACAATCACCTGGGTCTTGGTTTGAAAACTTTAGTATGCAATATGTCAATTTGGACTTCAAACGATTGTTTATAATCATTTTGTATGTGTTAAAAAGAGAATCTGGCTGTACCATAATATTGATAGTATATGTGGTTAATATTGTGCTCACAAGAAATATTGATCACGAAATGTGAAAAGCAAAAAAGTTCTTAGGGGGTATTTTTTACATCAAGGCTCTTGGTCCATTGAAACACTTCTTTGGCGTAGATGTGTAAATGAGGAATTTTTTTGTCTCAAAGGAAGTGTACCCTTGATCTCCCCAATGGCATAGGAATGCTTGGAGAGAAACCAACAAAATCTCCTATAAAATCAACATTGGGCTGACTACTTAGCCGATTGCCAGCCCCTATGCTTGAAGTTAGCTCAACTATCCATTCAAAATCAAACGTTTGAGCATAGTTGTTTCATATGTTTTATTTGTGGGTGGCGCCACATGTAAAACTTCTCCATTTCTATTCGCTAAATTATGATGTCATAAAGAATGAAAAATACTATTTTGATATAGAAGAGAGAGAACGAGGCATACTTGATTCTTGCAACCTTTGTTTGGACAGTAATACTGGTCAATGATGATGGGGTTTTCCACATCTGTGAAGATCAGATTTTCGAATATAATGTTTCTGGCAAATCCAGAACCGCCCTATGAAAGTTTGCATGCGTTATTAGTTTCTAAGCATGATTGTACAAATATATGAAAAGAAACTAACAAGAATGCCACAAATATGGCAATGATTTTCCTTAGGGAAAGTGCTCCACATTGTAGAGATAATTATCACGCACATTCATTTTACCAAAGAAGTTTTTCATGCATTCACAGGTGCTAAAGTACCCAAGGACACATCCGAAATTATAAATATATGTGATCTGAAACTACCAAAACAATCCATACAATATACTCAAACACGCATATTCATAGCAATATCATAATCACTATCATCATCAGAGTCTTTTCCCAACTATACACAAATCCCGGTCATAATCACTACAATATATAGATTGTCTCAATCGGCAGAACTTCAAATCTTCGCGACATCAAATAAAATGAAAGAAAATAATTTGTAAACAATGAGAGAGATGAAATTTTTCTAGAGAAAACAATGTGAGAATCGCGTTGTCCACAACGCCATGAAACCTGAATGGTTAGAGAAAGAGTAGATGGACAAAGACTCAACACAATTAAAATTCTAGAGAAATTTGTGAACAAGGCATGAAAAATTCAAAAAAAATGTGAATGTTTGCCCTCATGTTTTTGCTAATCCAAGAAGCAGAATTGTGGGGTACTCAAAGGGAATTAAATGAAAGCCATTAAAAACGAAAACCTTGAAATAGATTTATGAATCTCAAATACCATAAAGGCAAATTTTGATCAAATTTTGGTAATATGGAGTCTTTAGGACAATAGACTGAGGAAAATTAGCAAGTTAGTAAAAAGAAGCAAAATCATTCCTAAAGATGATCTCAGCCAAAACAAAGGTATCTCACCAAATGACCTGTGTAAGTGTACTTTCTTGAGTTCTAGTGAGAGAATATCTGAAAAACAGTATACCCTGTGAGAGAATAATTGATGGAGAATTGCAGCATAGTTTTTCCTTTATTTTTTTTATATATTTTTCTTCATTTGATTTTGATCTGGCCCAGCACGGTCCAGCCCTAACAGGTCCAGGACCGGTCCTACGGGGACAAGGGCAGACCAGGGTCAAAACTGTCCTAGCTCTATTGACAACGCTAGTTTAATTCAAAAGAATTACATTGGCCTTATTTTCTTGGGATTTTTCCCCTTTTCTTGGGCTCTTCTAAGCCCTTTCCATAACTTGGGCATAACTCAGGCAAGTCCATCAGACTCGCTCAAGTCACTTGCCTCTACCATAGACAAGCATCTTGGCTAAGGTGAGTTCTGTAACACTAATTGTAGAGCAAAGTGTGGGTTTATGAGAGATGATGGTGGATTTCTGAAAGTGGTGGACAATCAGCTAACTAACAGTGAACAAATGTTGTGGCTTTCTTTAGTTTTACTCGTACCATGGGTAGAGGATCCCATTCTGAACTACCAATAAAGTAATAATACTAATAATACTAAACGAAATTTACCAAACTAAACCTACCACTCCCTGATCATAACGTTTAAGAGTAGCAAAGCATGAGTTACCTGCCATGTCTTAATCCGAGCCCCATTTTTAGTTCCAATAAAGAAAGAATCCTTAACATGTATCATTTCTGCAGTTGAACGACTCCCATCTTTACCGAGACTTCCGACGCTGCATAAAAGAATCACGCCGATTTTTAAGTGGAAAGAGAAACATGTTGCACTGGGGAGGCTCCTAACTAATTTTCTTATTCGAGCACAACACAACAATGGCATGGTAGCTTGGACTACGGGTGCAATTGAAGCCGTAGTTCTAATTGTGATTTTGAAACCCTAACCACAGAGCACAGTGCAGGAGCCCAAAACCTATATGTAGTCGATGCGGTGTTATATTGAAATGGGAGAACTACCTGATGCCGTGACCCGGGCCACAAGTGATTTTGGATGCATTTACATCATACGTGCCATCACCAATGGAAATGCAATCGTCACCTACAAAGAAATTGCCATGAATATAACAGAGTAAAATGGATAGGAATGTCAAGAAATTCATTTTCCCTTTCTCGAGGAGTATATATAAATTTGAAGAGAAATCATCCAAATCCTGATCTCACACAACATATCAGAACTCAAGAAGATAATGAACATTTTACTTCATATCTAAAACATGGCAGACCTACTGATCTGGTAAATTTAGTTCAAATGCCAATCTAGATGTCCCCCTACATGAAATAACTCTCAGACCGTTGCACAACATGTATAATAGTATTCTCCATGTTACACTTGGTGAAACTCATCCAGCAAAAGAAATGCATATGGTAGTAAAGGATAAGTTGACTATTTTTTCAAGAAAATACCTTGTAGGTCCCCCTCAAAAATAAAGATACCTTGTAGGTGTAAGGTCTTAGTTGGTTTCCCATTTTGCGAACTCACGTGTGAACACCTCTCTGATCCTTTTTCAATGTGAACTTATCTCGAACTTTTAGATGGAAACATTAGGAACAGAACAATTCCATGGCAATTGCCAAGTGTTCAAGTTCTCTTCAATTTCTACAAAACTCAAGAAAACTTGATTTTTCATTTAAATGCAATGTGTAGTGATTTGATGAAAGACACTTTCTAAAACGATTCACCATTATTTGGATTGTGAGAGAAGAGAGAGAAAGTAATATTCAAGCACAAGATAAAGAAAATACAGATGTCGTTTTCAATCTATACAAATCATAGGGCAATGGGCCCTATGTACACAGATCCCTATATGCGTTACTATACGGGTAGGTCAATATGCATAGGAGTTACAACGTTATGCATGATTGTTATATGGTTGTTGCAGCTTATTATGCATTATTGTTATAGCAAGAAAAATCAGCCAACAATGGTAGAATATTATACACATTATCACCACATATAGGTTTTTAGAATGAGCATCATGCGAGTAATTATTGTAGATTTCTTTAATTGGTATGGGTCTCATAACGATAGCTACACTCCCGCTCAAGGTAGCATATATATCATAAATGCCCAGCTTGTCCCAAGTATCCCTTAGTCAATCGCAATTAGATCCTTCGTAAGGCTACTAATTGATTCTCATATCAATCAAATGGAGTACATAATGTGTATGAAGAGACCCTTGCTCCGACGATGTGAGAGTTTGCCTTTAATATACTTAGTTGTTTCACGACATAGAGGATTTCAAGCAATAAAAACTGCCCCTTAATTATCACATTGTAGAGGAATAAGAGTTGATACATTAACACTCATCTCTTGAATAAGAGAATGGAGCCAAATTATTTAATATGTGGCATATGTCATTGCTTGCTACTCAGCGTCTGCTGAAGATCATGCTACAACACTTAGCTTCTTACTCTTTTAAGTGACTAAAAAATTCCCATCCACTGACATAAGTAGCCATTTGTAGATTGTCGATCAAGAGAACACCCAGCCCAATCTGCATCGTAGAATCCTTATAAATCAAGGTGACAGTGACTGGTGTAAAGAAGCCCTCTCCTTGGGCAGTTTTCAAATATTTTAAACTGTGGTAAGCAACCTCCAAGTGATGGGAGCCTTGTGCTTGAATAAACTGACTTGCCAACTTTATAGCATATGCAATGTTTGGGTGTATAACTATCGAATAAATAAGTCTACCCACTAACCTATGATATACGACAAAATAGACACTTGTTAGAAGTACTAATAATGGAGGTTCCTAAGACATATTGGGACGACGCAGTTCTTACTATTGCATGTATGATCAATAGAATGCCTACACATGTTCTTGATGGCACTTATTCTTTAAAACTTCTCCACCAAACAATTTGTTTGTTTTCTCATGTACGAATTGTTGTTTGTTATGTTTGCTTTGTGCTCACACTAGGGCCGGCTAGGATTAAATTAGGACCTCAACCTACCAGATGCATGTTTTTGGGATACTCAAACTCTCATAAAGGATATAATTGGTGTTGTTCAAAACTAAAACGAAATATATTTCAAAAGATGTTACATCCTTTGATAATATATCCAATTTTTCTATCCAAAGAAATTTGATATCCAATATGCCACCCAAAAATCATATCCCTCTTACAATGATCACAGATAGTTCTAGTAAAACAACCATTGAACTTATGGAATCTACTAACAAATAGTTGAACACCCAAAAAAAAGAACAATGGAAAGTCTAACATAAAGATCAATCCCAACTCGTTGACTCGTCAGGTACTTCTTATCCTCTTGCCCTTATTATATCTTATGAATTCAATTTATTTATTTACGTAAGAAAGGAAAAAAGGGCTTGTACTTCTCAATTGATCAGTATGTTTGTTTCTTATGCTTCACTTTCAACTTCTTTGCATGCATACCTTTGCTCTACTTCATATGTTTCTATTCCCACTGAAATTGCAGATGCATTGGCTCATGTACAACGGAAAGCAAACATGGTTGGGGAAATGATTTCCTTAGAGAAGTAATAAACTTGGGATGTAATTGATCGGCCAACAGGACATGAGGTAGGATGCATATGGTTGTACACCCTATCGCACAAACCAGATGGCTCGACTAAGAAATTCAAAGCTTGTTTGATTGCCAAGGGTTTACATGGTTATGTAGGGTTGATAATAAAGAGACTTTTTCTCCTATGGCAAATTTGAAATCAATGCAGATCACCTATTGCCACAAATAAGAAATGGCCACTACACCAACTTAACGTGAATAATATTTTTCTCCATGGAGATCTACAAGAGGAAGTATATATGAGTTACCACCTGGGTTTTATCCTCAAAGGGGGAAAGGGAAGGATTGCAAGTTGAGGAAAGCTATATATGATTGAAACAATCACCTGGGTCTTGGTTTGAAAACTTTAGTATGGCAATATGTCAATTTGGACTTCAAACGATTGTTTATAATCATTTTGTATAAGTTAAAAAGAGAATCTGGCTCTACCATAATATTGATAGTATATGATCACACGAAATTTGAAAGTGAAAAAGTTCTTAGGGGGTATTTTTTACATCAAGGATCTTGGTCCATTGAAATACTTCTTTGGCGTAGATGTGGCTAAGTTTAAATGAGGAATTTTTTTGTGTCAAAGGAAGTGTACCCTTGATCTCCCCAATGGCAGAGGAATGCTTGGAGAGAAACCAAAAAAATCTCCTATAAAAGTTAATCACAAATTGTATGATCAATAGTCAGAGCCTCTCAGTAACTCTGGTGTATATAATAGACTAGTGGGTAGATTTATTTATTTACATTTCATATGTTTTAAGCATGGCAAGTTAATTTATGCATGCACCAAGCTCCCATCACTCGGAGGCTATTTATTACAATATTTAAAATCTGCTCCAGGGAGAGGGTTACTTTATGTCAATCATGGTCATCTTGATATGCAAGGTTTTCGCAATGCGGATTGAGTCGAGTGTTCTCTTGATCAACAATCTACCAATGGCTACTTTATAACAATGGGTGGTAATTTAGTCACCTAGAAGAGTAAGAAGCAAAGTGTTGTAACTCGATATTCAACATAAGCTGAATATTGAACAATGACAAGTTCTACATGTGAAACAATTTTGCTCTATTCTTTTCTTCAACAGGTGCGTGGTAATGTATCAACTGCTACTCCTTTACATTGTGATAATCAAGTGGCAATTTGTATTGCCACAAATCTTGTATTTTATGAAAGAACCAAACATATTGAGGTTGACTGCCACTTTGTCAGATAAATGGTCACTTCAAAGATAATATGTCCACCATGTGTTCACTCTAAATATCAATTGACATACACATTTACCATGGCCTGTAATCGAGTTCAACTAAAGGACACTTTGGATAAGTTGGGCATCTATGATATATATATTCCAGCTTGACGGGGGGGGGAGTGAAGCAATTGATATTGTCTCATTGCCATTACAACATGTGTAAAGGTTTTAACTCGTATGCATAATGGAGCCACATGTAGTGGTTGTTATGATACTATGTGCTCATACCCATTAAAACATGAAACTCCTATGAAAAATGGGCCTCACGCCCATTAGAACCTCCTATAATAGGTTTTGTAACTTCTACTATGGTTATAATTCTTTTGCATGTTGACCTACCAGTATTGTAACCCCAATAGAAATATGTAAATATATAGGGCACATTGCCCTACGATTTGTAGAGTGTGAAAAGTATATGTATTTACTTCATCTTATGCTAGAATATTACTCTTTATCTCTCTCTTTAATCTCAATCCTAACAGTATCCCAGAGTACTCTTCTACAGTCATTTCCTCTTGTTACAAAGTCATTATTATTTTACCATGTCATTAATAAGTCCTTACCATATCATCTCCTTGCGAGTATGTATTAGCTACTACCTTCCATATATCCTTTGCAGTCTTAAGAATCAATAGCCCTCTACCAATATTTGGCAACATGGAATAAACGAATCATGACATTACTGTCAGATTCTCACTTTCCCATTCATCATGGGTTGGATCATTTGCTGGGCAGCTCTTTCATTTTTCCTATGCTTTTAACCCAATTTTCTCTGGCTTCCGTTGACACTTTCGTAGATTGGGACCATTCTAAATAGTTTGTCTCATCTAGTTTACATGTAGGGATCATCAATCCTAGGTGGTACAAATTGACTACTTGCAAGGAAATACTGTTCTCAATTTCTGACAATTTTGTTCTTTCTCAAACTAGAAACCATAAGTCTTTTTTCCAAGGTACTAATTCTTTAGTTCCAAAAGTGTGGTTGCTGGAAATATAAAGTTACTAAAAATATAAGGTTGCAGGAAATATGATGTTGCTAGAAAATATGAGGTTGCTACTAAAAGGAAGGTGTTTGGGATAAATACTTACTTATTGGTAAAGAAAGTGAGATGATCTTTCTAGAATACAAGGATGTTGATATCCATGGCTTTAATTACAAGAAGGAAGAAAAATCATCGTTCTAGGGTCACCAAAAGTAAAATAGATATCCTAGGGTGTCAAGCCCTGATCTGATGTCATGTTAAGAGTGAGAGCGAAGAGAGAGAAAGCAATATCCAAGCACAAGATAAAGAAAATGTAGATATCTTTCTCACTCTAAGCAAATCACGGGGTGATTTTTCCTATATATATACAAATCCCTATAGGAGTGATAATACAAATAGGTCAACAAGTATAAGAATTCCAACTATTATGTATGACTGTTACAACCCCTTATGTATAACTACATGGGTGTTATATAACAAAAATTACCCAAATATAGTAGGATATTGTACACATTATCACCACATAGGTTTCCATAATAAGCATGAGGATCGTAATTATTTTAAAAAGGCTTGATGATGTAGTTACCCATGTGCGCTAGCTTGTTGAGGCCATGGTAATGGGCTAGCTTGTACGGGCCATAAATCTTGCCCCCATCGTGGGGATGCAGGTACACAAAGGCGAATTTTTCTCTCCCTCCGAGGCCACATAACTCATTAAATGGCCTACAACACTCTCTCCACCAGCTCTTTCTTTAAATGCTTTAGCTAGTAAAGAACTCGGGCGAGTCCACGCTCGAATAACTCACCCCGGGCTAGTTGTGCGGTCCTAGCCCAAAGCGCTTCTCAGGACACTGATAGTAACTAATGCGCCGAATTTGAACAATGAATCGAAGCAATGGAAGGAAACAAAGTTCATTGAATGACATGAACTAAAAAAAAAAAAACAACAATCAAAGTGTCACCAAAACAAAAACTTCTGTTCTTTTTTAATTTTTCTGTTTCTATGAGAGCGAGTGATACCAGTGGCAATGAAACTGTTCTCGACATTGACATGTTGCGAGCTTTGGATATGTATGCCATCAGAGTTGGGGCTATCTTCTGGAGAATTAATATGGAGACCCTTTATGTAAACAGTATTAGAATTATGTATTGCGATATGTCTTTGCTGGCTATTAACAATGTGCAAATCCCTCAGTTTTAGATTGGTGCACACATCGAAGCTCAATGCCTGCACAAAGCCATATTAGTCTGCTTAGATAATTTTCACAATGTATCTTAATACATGTATCATATTAATATTTAATAGTAATTTAGAAAACAAGCCAAAAATAAAAATACCAAGAGGGACACCAACATGATAAGTTATAGTGTCCTAAAACTTTTCATTTCAATACAACTCGAACCTAGAAAGTGCTTGTTGCATAAATTTATAAAGAACCCAGTCTCTATGCGGCCAAGCCCGAATATGTAGAAATGCGGGCCTCTTAATAAATCTATTTTTGAGATAGATTTTAAGACTTAATTTTTAAGGACATGATATCTCTAACATGGAGATCGTGAATATGAAAGAATAAATAAATTTTAAAACTAAAAATAATAATTTTAGTAAGAAAACATTTGGGCCGTTATTTTCCATTATTCTTAGATGGAAAACCTACTTGCATCAATCTTTAAGACATATGCTTTACACTTTCTGGATCGCATATGTAGAAATGAGGTCCAGCCCGCATGAAACAATTTTCCATTTATAAATTATGCTCTAGTTACAAACCCAGTTATAAATTATGTTCTAGTTACAAACCCACTTATGCTGCTTAAGAATAAAACCACTCTCTTTATATGTGATTATCAAGTATCATTATGCTTGTAAATTTTTACAATACCAATTAGAAAAGGCTGATACCCGAAAACTTGGTCCTTCAAAACTCTAGTCTGAGAATCCAAAATTATGGATCGCTCGAATGGTTTATGCAATGTTCCGGAATCGTGTTATCGTTTGAAAAGTAATAAAGAGAGACACTAACCGTGGGTGCCGTGCCGAAATCATCCGGCAGAGAAAAAGAGACACCACTTACCGTGGGTACCGTCCTGAAACTATCCTGCAGAGAAAGAGAGAGACCACAAATGAGATAAGAAACATGGTACTCAATGCTAAACAGAAGAATAATAATAACATTGTTATCAAGAGAAACTCATAATAGATGGCAACTTTAAAAATTTAAACAGTCAATTTAATTGCAAGTGGTGAAACCATCAATTCTTCTACTAAAAATAAAAATAAAATATGTAATTGATTTTTCCCGAGCTCTTCTTTGATGATCGTGGTTTCGTATCCATTTGAAACCACGATTCTACTTATATAATAACAAAAACAATTACAATAACATGATGATACTACCGTGCATATTCAAAAGAGCAATTATTCTATGCTAGAAAATTCGGTTTCAAGTGGTTGATCGAAAAGTAGGAAAGGCATTCCTGCTAGCAAATCATTTGAAACCAAAATAGCAGCACAACAAGGGGTAGTTTTTTCCATTGGAAATCTCCCTCAACAAGAGAGAATGCCGAGAAATTAGCTTCACAACTCCTGGAGTATGAAGCCACTTTCCCATGAAAGAGCCGAGATTTCCCAAATTTTGTATAGCGGTGGTGCACCATAAAGATTTACGGATGTCCCACTAACCAAACATGGAAATGGCCTAAGTAGAAATATGTGGAGAGAGAGATTTCCAAGGTACCAAACATGCCCTAAATAAACTCTATCGGCAGTAGGATAAGGGAAAGGTTTCTATGTTTCCCCTATAATATAGAAGTTCTATCCTCTCCCTATCATGCAGCCGTCCAATTTTGATCAAGAGAGTCACTCACCGTTTGATATTAGATCCGACATCTCAAAGTATTTTATATTTAGTTTTTTTATACAAATTGTATGAATATGAAATTTGGTACGTGTCATCTTCTCTTGGGGGCGCACCTATAAAAAATATTAAAAATAATTTTTCGATAAAATGTAATGCCCAAAAAACCCCTTGAAAATATCAGAGGTATTTTGGTCATTTTATTTCATTGAAAATATTTTTTTTATATTTTTCTGTAGTGCAAGTTTAATAGAGGAGTTTTCAATATTTTGTGTCAAAATAGTTTATAAAAAAAAATTTAAAAATAAAATAGTGTAGAGACACGACATTATGATTGGGGCAATCTTAGCCCTCCATTGAGAATGGAGGGTTGCATAAGGGGAAGGATAGAACTGCTATGCTGTAGAGGAAGCATAGAAAGTTTGCCCATAGGATAGTGCTAACACATGTGTGCCAAAGAAGTAATGGCCGTCACTTGGTACGACAGTAAAAAGCTTGGGTGGGTAGCCAACAAAAGAGCGTAAGTTCGAGTCCTAAGAGAAACCACTTTGTGTTTAAGCCAAAAGTTAGGCCCGTTTGCAGCCCACCCCTCCCGAGACCCTACTTAGGCGTGACCAGCACCTGGTTATGACTCTTTATGTGTACAAAAGAAGGGAAGACAAAATTGCTGGATGTGATTTATTGATGCAAGAATCTTGAGTTTCACATGTGTGTGATGATGAATTGTATAATTAGGGTGTTAGTGAAATTACATGGGTCTCTTGAGCACTCTTGATGGGCCACCATGCATGTCCTTGACCATCTATTGTCCCACTTCCTTGAATGCTAAGGCCATCCACACACTTGAAATGGATCCAATGTTCCTGGTCATTGCCCCATGAGGAGATTGAACTTGGAGCTAATATATTCCCTGAAACCTACAACAAACAAGTTTCAATTTTTTTTTTTTTCTGCGCAAACAAGACTGCGTACTAAGTGCATTTATGTACTTCGTGTGTGCGTGCTTTGGGGGAAATAATACAAATCGTATGATGTATAAGTGCACAATGCTTGTCGTGATTGTGGAAAGTGTTAACCGAGAGAATAGAGACTAAGACATTATGCTGAAGAACCTGGCCCCATAACCACCAATTCCCCGCCCCCACTCCCAACACATGTTTAAATTTCTCCTTCTCTCTTTCTCTAATAGACATATAAACTCTTAAGTCTCTCTTATTCTCCTCACTCGCTCCATTGAATTAATAATTTAGAAAAGGGTGTGGTTTGTATAAGGCCGAGGCCATAAATAATCAAAGTAAGGCACACCTTCAAATAGTACTGAAATATGTTATTTTAGTTTTAAAAATATTTATGATGGCCTGAAAATGTATTCTTATTTTTAATTAGAAATTTTAACGATTCAAAAATAATGTAGATCGAGCACATTATAAGATGCATAGTTTCCAAGACTTGAAATCTATGTTTTCTCATGTCTATATATCTTGAGATCGACATGATCGAGTTGAAGGTTTTTCAACATCGAAACAATCCCTTGAAGTGAATTTTTAAGATACGCCTTAATTTGATTGTTTAGGGCCTCACCCTGAAAACAGCCCGTGTATTGAGATCCTGTTTAACTAAATTAGGCATTTTGTCCTATGGGACCATCTTTGATTCAACTTATGATTATTTTTCTTTCAAAGAAAAAAAAAGGACAAGATTTTGATCTTAGGAAATCCTAGGTTTGATTTTTCCTCGTCTAGGGAAAATATTGGAGAAGGTAATAATTTGAGGTATTTACAGAGGAAATATTGGGAGTGAGAGATTAAGCATCGAAGACGAAAGAAAGAGATACCCCAAGGACATGGGAGACAAAAAAAATGCTCAGTTTTGGCATGAAGAAATGAACGCAACATTTGTTTATAGATAGAGAGAGAGAGCATTATTTAGTTTCCCTAATCAGTTTAATGCAGAAAATACAAGAAAAAGAATGAGTGGCAATTTTCATGTGATAAATCGCAATAGAATATAGAAAAAGGTGCGGTTTGTAGAGAGTCGAGGCTCTAAACAATCAAATTAGAGCCCACCTTCATATAGTGTCGAGAAATTTGAAGGTCAATTTTTATCTTATCTATATTTATATCAATAACCGTATCTATACTGTACCTATACGATATTCCCAAGGAGTATGTATGACAGGTGGCCTTTAAACGTAGTTTTACCATGTGCAGGTAAATGGATTCTTACTTATCGGGACAAAATAAAGGAAAAGATTTAAGTAAGGTTGCACTAATCTATGTTGTCTTATTTATTTTGACGGTTTAGATCTTATATTTATTTTTACGGTTTAGATATTATAATGTCTTGAAAGACGGGTCATGAAATGATATGCCCAAAAAACACCATCCAACAAAACTAGATACGATTGCCACCTTATCAAAACCACATATTCTCAAAACAAAACTGGATAGTATTGCCACCTTATAAAACCCACATATTCTCGGCATTCTACATTTTGAGCTTGCTAATTTACCCTATCCCAAAATTTGTGCTGGCTATCCTAAATTTTCTCTTCATCAATACCATCTACATTTTCTCTCTCACACACACATCCACGTGGGAATATTCATATTTCTTTGGTGTCTAAAATCAATTCTTATTACACAACTCCCTAACAGAGTACAAATTCCAAAATTTTGTAGAAAATATGCAAATTTACTATTACAACTTCCTCAATATTACAGATTCCAAACTTCCTTAGAATAATCATTTATTTATTATCACGATTCTCAAAATATTTATCATATTTTAATATTTAGAAAGATATTACAAATATCTTAAACTAGCATACCACCTTGTACTCCAAAAATGACTATGCATAACGTTTGATTTATAGAAGATTCTCAAATTTTGAAAATAATTTGTTCTTTTTCTCCATTACATGAATAACTAAATATTTTCTTTTGAATTCTTATGCCCTAAAATTTACTTGCAACTAATTCCCATGTCAACTAATTCCTACCTCCACACCCCCTAAAAAGTAACGAAGTTGTTTTTTAAAATAGACTTTTTGTGTAGATTTCTCTAGAACTATCATTCTAATGTTGTTTTTATTATTATGATTTTCACCACGGTTTCTATTCCCATCACTCTCAGCATCATACTAATACTTTCAAAAAGCTAACTTCTAATCTACTTTAAAAATGGGTAAGGGCCTGTCTTCCCTACTGAATTACCCAAAAAAAAAAAATCTTGATTCATTTGTCTTTTAGTCCGTCAATAGTTTATATTTTTTTTAAAAAAAATTATGTTTTATAAATAGTTTGTGAGTATTTGTCGTATTAGATCATTAATTTCCAAGTGTTTTAAAAAATCATGCAGATATTTCTTTATTCAATATTTTTAAATTTCTACTTTTTAATACATTTTTTTTTTTGGGTAATTCAATAGGGAAGACTAACCCCTTCCCATTTTTTCATGTATATTTATGGAGTTAGCTTATTTTAAGGTGTCAATGTGCTGTAAAAATAGGATTAGAAACCACAGCACGGTAACTAACGACCCAACCCTATCTATCCTTTTGTGGTTAGGAATCTATGCTTCTATGGTCCTTACCAGCTATTTATTTTTATAATTTTGAAATGAAAAACTATAACGTATCTTAAATAAATTTTATGGTCTTTAATATAAAAATTAAAAAGCATGTTGTAGATCTAATATATTTGAATTAATACTTCGAAATTTCATTTATGAGCAGTTTTCCTTTTTTGAAAACTTTATAATATGGCAATTACCTGATCTTCTAGCAAATTTTACGTCTTAAAAATAGAGTATCAAACAACAACTTTCTATAAACTGCAAATGCGTAACAACTCTAATGCTTTGGCATAAACTTTTGGAAAGTAAAACTAATAGTGGATATTTTCTAAATCTGACCTTATACTGTTCATGTACCTGGATATTGATAGCAGGAGACTTGCACGGGCCTCTAAAAGTAGTTGGATTAAGGAGAAAGGTTTTCCCTGCTGGAATAGTCATGGTGGGAGGCTTTGTACTTTGGCATACACTTTCCCATGCTTTCAAGAATGCCTGCAAAAATCAGCAGAGAATAATCATCACATAACTCCTTTCCCCTCTCTCTCTCTCTCTCTAAAATGGTTAAATGGAACAGAATGAAGAAAGATATTATGTTATATTTTCACTCTTGAGGCATGTTTAATACGAGAGAAAATATTTTCATGGAATGAAAAGATTCTCTTATATGATTAGGTGTGAGAATTTTTTCGGCTGTCCATCGATCTACAAAATATGTTGGGACCAATTAGTGCGAAAAATATAAAAATACTTTTACAGAAGAATTTTCACATAACAATGTGCCGTAAAAGCTTTTACCTTTGAATCGTCTCTTTTGCCATTGCCAACTGCTCCGAAACGGACAACGTCGAAATTTGACGGCCCATGATCCAGTCCATACAAAGTTCGAGCCCGACCCGGTGTAGAACTGCCCAGGAATAGTAATAAAATTGCGAAAATGCCCTGCAAAAGGATAACCTTCAGGGAAATTAATTTAACATTAATTCACTGGGACAAACCAAATATTGGGGAGTATTTTTTTTTGAAAAAATTCAATTTCCATCTCTTTAGCAGAGAGAGAGAGGGGTGCTATCATACACCTCTTACCCTTAATCAAAAACAAAGTTCAAAAAAACACATTTAATATGTGAGAGAGAGAGAGAGATGCTATCATGGAGATCCAAGTCTTAATCATATTATATTTTCAGAATAAGAGCGAGAGAGAGATGCTATCATGGAGCTCAAACTTTTAATCAAACTGCATATTGAAAAAAAAAACACAAGTAATGTGAGATGTGGTAAATTTGCAGACACAATGCATCTAAAGAAACAACACCATCCTACCACAACTTCTTCTTTCAAATGAACCAGAAAAAGATAAAGTAAAAATTTTTAGAGAGTAACGTAATGTAAGTTCTTCGAACTCACCGCCATTTCACTCTTTCCCAAACAGCAGTCTATGCTCTCTCGACCTCTGGATATTAAACTTCGGGAGAAAGAGAGAGAGCGGTCTCATTACTTGTACTCTGAATCACTTGGGATTACATGCACAACCTAATCAAAGTCAAATGTGCTCTAAGAAGCAAGTTTTCAAATTGTACACCATACCAAAAGTTTCCAAATAGTATACCGTACCAACATAGTAGTTTACACAACACCCATCAATCCCCAAGTTTATATAAGAAAGTATTTATGTAGTCCTATTGATTATGGAAGGAATTGAATGATGTAAGACCATCTATCTTTGGGATAAGGGGTCCCGACTAATCTTAACCATTAAATGTCAAATCAGACGGCTTAAGTATCTCACAGAGTTTGAAAAAAATTTCTTCCAACTTTGAACGATTTCAAATCTAACAGTTAAAAATAACTATGACCTCCTTACACAAAAGATAAATGGTGTGGTTTCTATAAGGTTGCAACCTTAAACAATCCAATCAAGGCGCACCTCCAAATTTATCATTACATGTAATTTTGGTGTAAATGTTTTGAGGATTATCTCAAAACCTATCTTTATATCTAATTCTAAAATTTTAAACTCAAAAAATCATTAAAATCAAGTGGATCTATAAACATATGAAAATCTTGAAAATAGACGGTCTAGATAATGTGTTTCAAGATGCACTATTTCAGGGACTCAAAAAGATATTTCTTTCATATTCATACATCATGATGTTGAGGTGATCAATTCGATGGTTTTTTCAACATTAAAACAACATTATCCGATGATTTTTGAGATGCATTTAAAATTCTACATTTTAAGATTACAACCTGATATCAACTTTTGCCAAAGATAAATATTATGGGGATATTATAACTCCACCAATAGGTTCCCTTAGGCGACCCCAAATAGTTGTGAAAATGTATTGATGATAATAATGACTCCATAAGTGAGTTCCCTCTCTTGTCATTGTCCACCTATTGATTGGGTGACGATAACCCATTTCTTATCATCTTTGAAATCCTTTCATGCTTGAAAGGGGTCAAAAGCAGTGTTTTAAAACCATTGAATTTAAACCAATCAATTTTATTGCAAAAAAAGTTTCCTGCAAGTCTATAGAAAGAAAACATATCAGTTCGATCATCACTATTCACTGAAAGGATAGAGGACGATAGAACAAGTGTAGTGTTCGATATGTGACCATCCTATTGAATGGGACAATTAGTGAAGACTAAAGGGCCGTTTGGATACTCAAAAATACATCTCTAGAAAAAAAAAATTCAGTGGAGATGGCACATTTATGGCATTTGGATAGAAAGTTTGGGACAGAAAAATATTTCTGCCACAAAATATTTTCTTTATTTTAAGCCAAAAAATAAAGAAATATGTATCCTTGCCTTTACCCTCATAAATTGATTTCCAACCGAATTTTCCCTTACTGAGATCCCTACTTTATAAAATTCAATTATTTCTGCTAAAACACTGCCATGAATTAGAACGAGAAACTAACTCAAATTTTAACTTTTAGAGAGAGAAAGTATCTTAAAATTTTAGAAAGATAAATTATATATAATTTTAGAGAGAAAAACTATCTAAAAATTTTAGACATAAACTATCTCAAAATTTTTACAAAGAGAAACTATCTAAAATTTTAAGTTTTTGAGAGAAAAAGTATCGTAAGAATTTTGAGAGAGAAACTATATCAAATTTTAGAGAGAGAAAGTATCTAAAAAAGTTTAGAGAGAAAAACTATCTTAAATTTTAAGTTTTAGAGAGAGCAAGTACCTGAAAATTTTAGAGGGAAACTATCTCAAAATTTTACAGAGATAAATTATCTCAAAAATTTTAGAGAGAGAAACTATCTCAAAAATTTTAGAGAGTGAAACTATCTTAAAATTTTTAGAAAGAGAAACTATCTTAATCAAAAACATTTAAAAAATAAAAATAAAGTCATAGTCATTCAAACAACAGAGATCTATTTTATAGGAAATACTTTTTTCAAAAAATAGATCTCAAAGAAAATAGATTTTTCCTAACAATCTTTTTCCTTGGATCCAAACGGCCTTAATTCAGCTCATGTAATTTCTTCCTTATCTATAAGGTTCCCTCAATTTGTTCATAGGATTGGAACTCAAGAACATTACTGGCATACGGAATCCTTCAAAGTATGGCACTTATAGGAGTGACAATAAGCCACAAGATTGTAGGCTGTCTTGTCGTATATTCGCTCCCCCGGTAAAACTCTGCTGAAGAGTATTTTCGGATTGCATAATTGGAGGATAACTCGTCATTAAAATGACCAACATAAAAAAAAAAAATAACAGATAAATATTTAAATTATTGGATTGTATACAATGAGACGGTTTACCTTTGATACAAGATGGTCACAATTCCTTACAAGCATCCAATGTAAATTTTGATTGCTTGAATGTGTCACAAAGTTCGAAAAAAAAAATTTTGAGGTTTGAGTTTGGTCAATAGAATAATTGCAACCACCCAATTTCACATCCAATGGTCAAGATTAATATCTCACCTTGTACCAAAGGTAAATGATCCCATTCTATACTTTCCCTTAAATTATATATGCTTTGTGTGTTGTGTTCTTAGAAAAAAAAAAAGTAATCTCCTAAGACTGAACCGCAGAGCCCTCCAATTTTTAGTGGGTTAGATCTAAGTACTTAGACCTCGTTTTATTTTTATTTTTCTATTCTTTTTTTAATACTAACTCTGCGGTTCTAAATTGGATAATTAAACTTCTAATCGAGACAAATTCTCTTAAGTAGGTTTTTTATCGAGTAGTAATTTGATGATGTACTTTTGTTATAGTATCTTATACGTTCTTTTATCTAAAAGGATTGCATATAATGAGACAATTTACCTATTGTACAAGCAGGTCACAATTGTTTATAACCATCCGATGTGAAATTTGATAGTTTGAGGTTGTCACAAAGTTTGAAAAAAATTTGAACTTTGTGCTTGGTGAATAGAATAAATGTAACCACTGAATTTCAAATCCTAAGGTCAAGATTAATTGTGACCACCTTGTAAAAATGTAAACGGTCACGATCAAGTTTCGAATTTATTGAAAAAAAATGTGGACTCTAGTAACACCCCCATCAAGAAATAGTCTCCCACCCAAACACTAGAGAATCCTTTTACCTTAAAATTTTGTTGTTCTTAGTATCAATGACAAAATTTAATTATGAGTTAAACATAACATGCTTCTAAATTATTTCTCCTCAGTAATTGACACAGGACACCCATTTGAACAAAGATCAAAATTGTCCACCAAGTGAATCAAGGATGACCTCAAAACATTTTGAATAGTAAACCAGCACATGGGAGGCATAGCACATCTACTCCTGAGAAGAGTAAACCAGCAATCCATCAGCAAGAAAAAGTTGCTCCCTATTGTGGGGTGGTGTACTGGGATTGTGGGGTGGTGTATTGGAAGGCAGGTAGGGAATAGTTGGAGCGTGTGAACCGCCAGTGGTGGTTGATAAGATGACTAACTAGGTTTCCCTAAGGGTTCGACATGGTTAACCGACTGGGTCGGACACAATGGTTGTTGGCTGGCAAGGTCGCTAAGGCCATTAGGTAAAGCCTGGTCAGTCCCATGACTGAGATCTTGTCCCTGACTCGTTAATGTCTACAGAAAAGCTTGTAAAATAGACCCATTTTGAATTTTACATTTTTCCTAAGGTCCTAAACCTTAAAACCATAAGGAATGACTTTAAAATCATAGAAAACAGCCTTAGTTCTGCCCAACATACCTATAGGGACCACACTGTTGGGTTTATGTGGCCTTTAAAGGCCTTATGAGAGCTTGTATGAGCATTTTATATAGTGAAATATAAACTCAGTGGGAGTGTGGTCCTTTTGTGGACCATAATAGGCAAATGTTGTTTGTTGATATTCGGATTAGGCTCGACGAGCTAGGCCAGTCGAGGTTTGGAAAAACCCAAGATACTTGGGCATAGGGTTCTACCGAGAAGGGTTTAGTGGGTTATCCCTTGATGAGGTCGGAGTATGCCTAGATGAGAGCCAAGGGACTGTGTAGCCCATGCGTGTGATGAATAGCTTAGAGATGGGCTAAAATGTCATCGTTATATCATCACACGACATATACATAAATAGCCATTTTGATATTCACCAATGAGGGTGAAGCGTGTACATGTGCGAGAAATTACCCTTATGCACCATAGAGTCATTGTTGCATCATGGTCTGGAGGACCATGATTTTTGTCTCTAGGGGAGGAAATCTAGAAACTGGAATTGCGTCCCCTAGTCTATTTTCTGGCTTTGGTAGTCTAATCATGAACCCGCAGTAGACTGTGGGTCATGGGAATTACTGGGTCAGTTTGAGAAAGCTAGACAGATTGTGATTCATAGTTGAAGGTGGAGTGCTCCCATGTATTCATAATTTCCTAGATCTAACAGATTCGATTCCCATAAAAAACTTTTGTGATTTTTAGAATTTTTATTTGAATTTTTTGTGAATCTTCTGATATTTAATTTTCATCATTTGAATTTATAAATAAAGAGAAATTAATTTTTCAATGTTTTAAATAAAATATAAGATTTAAAAATTTTAAATATGAAATAAAATATTTTTTAAAAGTATTTGGGACCTCCATAAAATATGGGGCCCAAAATTTAAAAAGATGTGGGTTAGGTGGGGCCTACACGTGGCCTCCAAAACGGTGGTCCACCCCCACCCATTCACGTAACATTATTGGGAATAATGTTTATCCTCTTGGTTGGCCTATCTTTTTAAGTATAGCCAAATTATGTGATAATGTTGAATATTTGAGTTATTTACTAAATCTTTGGATCAAGATTGGTTGATCTAATAATTAAGGATTAGATATATTAAAATATAAGTTTTTATTATTTGACTGGAATATATTTAGGAAATGGAAGATAAGGCTCTAGTTCATCTCTTTGAATCTTGATGGTGGATCAAAGAGATTGGTGGCTCAAATCTCTCAGC